AAGTGAGTTGAGCACTGGTGCGAACTGGCTGCGCGCCGCGGATGCTTCTTACGGCCCAGCACGTTCTCATACCTCCTGCCTGTCGTCAGCGTATGTAACCTCTTTCCCCGTCACATTCATTGCGCCATATTCTGTAAGTGAGAATACTTCTTACGGGCCCACATTGCTTGCGCAGGCACGTTTTAAGTTCGTGTGCACTTTTTTTTTTCTTTTTCTTTTTTCTTTACGCTAATTATCTTAACTCAATTCAATTACCTGTCCAATCTGGACAGGACGGCCTTTCAGGCCTTCTTTATTGTCATCACGGGCAGCCCCGTAGCACCCATGGTGTACACTTGCGCGTGCTGACCACTGCGAAGCCAAAACGGGAAGAAAGACAGGATTTCCTTCGGTATTGCGCGCCAAGCCGTCGCTGCGCTGGAAACAATGGCTGGGGTACAACTGTACAAGTGGACGGCTGCTGTGCACTCCTTGAGGGAAGGGCGCGCGCGCTCCCGGGCTTTTTTTTATTCTTTGGAATTTGTTCTTTTGCGTTCCGCTTGAGAACCAATCGTTGGGGTACACGTGGACGACTGGTGTGCACGCGCAGCCATAAATTAAATTGTGTTCGTTTGTTTGCTCGCTGTGCACACGGCTTTGTTTTTTTGTGCAGTTAGCGGCCCGCACTACTAGATCTGACGTGTCACGGCTAATATTTCCTTTTTGGTCCTTTTGCATTTCGGTACGCATCGGCCCGCACTATCGCATCTGACGTGTCACGGCTAATGTTTCCTTTTTTAGTCTTTTGCATTTCGGTGGGCATGGCGCTGCCGCCTTAATGCGTGCCCGGCAGCGTAGATGCGGCCGTTTTGGCGTGCTCTCACAATCGCCTCTTTTTCGATGAATTCTATGAAACCTTTGGACCAGGTACATTCGAAATTGTCCTCGTGGCGGTCTGAGGTAGCTTTTCGGCCAAGCTTGTGCACAGCTGCAAAGCGCTGCAGTCGTTTATGCAATTCCAGTTCGGCCGGACTAGGAAAGAAAAAGGGCCAAGCTTGCACGCACTGCGACCAGACTACATTCTTCCCTCGAATACAACGTACGGTCATTATAGCTGTATTTGGGGTATCTTTCAGTCTAAATACAAGCTATAATGACCGTCCATTGTATTCGGCGGAATACAATGACCTACCTGGGCTGGTTAGTCCGATGATAATACCTCAAGGCCATCGCCCTTTAAAAAAAAAAAAAACTTGTAAAAACTTGTCGAACGTGTCGCGCCCTGCGCCAGGTGTCGGGATTTGCAAGATTGGGCCAAGGCATTGTAAAGAGGAAGAGAGAATTAAAAAGTATACGGGATTTTTTTTTTTTTTTTTTTTTTTGGTATACGGGAATTGAAGAAAAGCATTCGAAGCATTCGAAACAAATCTGCTCATGAATATCATGCAAAATCGCACAATACGTCAAGACAACTCAATAGTTGTATGCAATTGCCAATTAGAAAATCACAGGTCTCGGGATTAGCAAGATTTTTTTTTTTTTCCAAAAGGATTTGCAAGATTGGGCTAAGGCACTGTAAAGAGGAAGAGAGAATTAAAAAGTATACGGGATTTTTTATTTTTTTATTTTTGTATACGGGAATGAAGAAAAGCGCTGCGATCGACATGCTAGGTGGCTGAATCGCACACCGACAGATGTAAACGACGCATGAACAAATCAAGAGTTCACATCCCATTGAGGAACTTGAGGGTGATGATATTACCACTACCGACAGGCGTGGGCTGCCCCCAAGTCAACAAAGAGTGCATAGTTTCTTTTTTTTTCGTTTTTTTTCAGTTATTCTCACTCCGAGTCATCTGCTTCCATCCGGATTAGAACTCGGGTGGGATCCAGCGGCCACTGCGGCCGAGTTAAAAATAAAGAAACATCCAGAGGTCTAGCTCAATTGATAAGGCACGGAAGTGGCACTTAGGAGGTTGTGGGCTCAATCCCCATTGGCCTCATGTACCTTCCTGGGCAAGCTTGGTGCGCGCCACCTAGAGATAGGTCGTTGCCGTTGGTTCCCCTGAGTGAGTGGCATTGAGCAGAGACTGCTGATGTTCACAGGGGGAGGGGATCGGAGGAGAGGCACAGCTACTGCTAAATGGCCCATCGAAGAAGCTCGGTCCTGATGCTACCACCTGACCCCTGGCCGGTATCGCCCACCTGCTGCTCGGTGCAGCTCCCGCACGTTCCCTTGACCTAAGATGTGGCTGCTACGGGGTTCCCCATAATACTATAATGACAATAAAAAAGGCCTGAAATGCCGTCCTGTCCAGATTCGACAGGTAATTTGATTGGTTGGGCTTAAAATAATTAGGCTTTGACCTTGAGAGGGTATTTTAAGTTTTAACAGTTCGCGGGTGTATCAACCTCACTACTAGTAGGGCAGTTGGTTGGTAGTTAATAGTTTCTCTCGCCCCGCTGGACGACACGGAAAGACTCTCTACAGCTCCTCTACGGCTATGAGATATGGATCACTATGATGGAAGTTTTGGAACAGTGTTTCTTCCTCAGCGGCACAGATGTCGTTCGCATCGGCACCAACATGCATGGGTAATGATGGGTAAGGGGTAATTGGAAATTTGTATCTGTCCTTGGGGACATCCGTTAAAATTGGAACGATACAGAGAAGATTAGCATGGCTCCTGCGCAAGGATGACACGCATAAATCGAGAAATGGTCCAAATTAAAAAAAAAAAAAAAAAAAAAAAAAAAAAAAGTATCTTACGCATGATCGATTAATTCTGTAGCCGTTGATGAACCGTGGAAGGATTAACAAAAAAAAAAAAGAAAAAAAAGGGAAAAAAAGGAGGGACAGTCGTCCACACGTATATGCTTCACTCTACCGCGTGTCACGCTGAGTATTCAAACTTGCCTATGTACCACAAGTGCAAAACAAGCATGCAAAGGTCTTTCTATTCTGAGAAAAGGTGTTGTAATTTGTAAGAGTGCAGGTGGTCCTGAAGGCCGCCAGGTGCATGATATCCGTACGGGGACGTGTAAAACCCCTATCCTTGAGGGATTAACATCATTAAAAACTTCACGCTCCACCCTCCACCCTTACCTCCCCCACTCCCCCACAAAATCTCTGACAATCGTGGGGTTACCATCAGGGTGGGGGTTTGATGGCGGAACCTTCCGGCACCACTTGTTTTGCAGATCGGCTGACCTCTCAATGCCCCAGCAATCGTGATCGGCTGAGCCACCTGTCGGGATCATGACACAGACTTTTATCTTTTCCCGTGCTGCCACGTGGCAGTTGCACTACAGTCTTCCCCCGAATACAACGCACGGTCATTATAGCTGAATTTGGTATATCTTTCAGTCTAAATTCAGCTATAATGACCGTGCGTTGTATTCGGGGGAAGACTGTAGCGTCTGACACGTCGAGCTGTGTTAGCCTGTGTCAGGAACCGGCCGGTCTGGCTTATCGGGGAAGTCGGGAGTCCGTGTAACAGAAAGGCTGAAGAGAGGTCTTTTGGCTAAGATCAAGTGTAGTATCTGTTCTGATTAGTTTGATATCTGATCCGTGGTCCATCGGACCCCCAAAAAAAAAAAAAAAAAAAAAAAAAGTAGGAAGTACTTCGCCAGCCGACATAGTACGTGGTGGAAGAAAGGCAGTGACACTGTAGCAAATACTTCGCCAGCAGACAGAGTACGTGGAATGCTAAGCATGCGTACTTTGAATGGTTTGCCAGGCATCAGGCAAGTTGCATGGCAGTGCATGCTCTTGCATGGTACGTCGGAACTCTACGCTTCCAGATGGACGTAGTGGGGTTAGACCGTTAGACGTGTCTCGTAAAGAAAGGCAGTGATGCTGTGGCAAGTACTTCGACAGCAGACCCCGCCCAATGGCCCCCATAGTACGTGGAATGCTAAGCATGAGTGCTTCGCCAGGCATCAGACAAGCCTCATGCTATTGCATAGAACGTCGGAACTCTAAGCTTCCAGATGGGCGTAGTGAGGTTAGACCGTACGAAGACGTTTCTCGTCGTGTATCAGCTCTGATTCATGCAATAATTGGGGATCAGTCTCATCGAGAATGGCACAGAGGGAAGCACATCTGCAAGCTGAGTCGCTGACCGACCGACCATACATCCGCTCCGGGAACATAGATATCAAATCGACTTGCATTCAACGGTAGGTCATCCATCCTTTTTCAGTCATTCGTCCATTGACGTTAGTGCCAAATTGCCAATGTACTAATATAGGCTCCTGTGTTTGTCGCAAGAGCGTTGTTCCCTCTTTCCTCTTTCCTCCTGCTGTGACTCTTCTTCTCCTCTCTAAGCTCCCTCGCTTTCCCTCTTTCCTCCTGCTGTTTCAAGGAAGTGGTTGTAGAGGAGAGCGTTGTAGCCACGCCCCGAAGTTGGATCGTGCTTGAGAGCTGTAAGGCAATGTAAGCCCCTCCGCCCCCTTTTGTTTAAACGTCTCCCTCTCTCTCCTCTCGCTTCTCCTACCCGCCACCACACTCAGCTCCATCTAGAGCGATTTGGCTGTCCGTGACAAACGATGAGCATGGCTGGCCAGCGCGGCAATGAGCTGCTGCGCATTGGGCGTTTTTTGCCTTGTCCTTGTGGTCCTGATCCCCGCTGTTCATGGCCGTCCGTCCCCGCCAGCAAGACAGCTTAACGACTGCAGTCGTCGGCAAGACGCAGAATTGCACGCCGTCAAGGCCTTGCGCACAATGGCTACCCCGTCAAGGCCTTGCGCAGGAGGCAACCGCTGCCAGCCGGCGAAGAACTGCATAGGAGAGAGCTGTCCCAACACTGCCAAGCCATCGAAGAACTGCACCCGACAAGGCGGCGCAGAACCATCGGAGCCGTGCGGAGGAGAAGGCGAGAATTGCTTCGTGCCGCTGCCGATGCCTTGAAAAGGAAGCGAGTCAAGCGACTGCTTCAGGCCACCGAAGAACAGCACGGGAGACAAGTGCCCAAAGCGGTGTAGAGGAGATGGAGTCAATTGCCCAAACCCGTGCACAAGAGATGGAGCCGATTGCCCCATCCCGCCGCCGCAGATGGGTTGCAGCGGAGTCTGAGGAGTCCAGTTCAGTCAACTGCCCGAAGCCCCCAAAGCCTGGCAGAGAAGATGATTGTAATTTGTCCTCCTGCGCCAGGCCGTGCACAGGAGACGATTGCCCCATGGGCCCATGGGCCCATGCCGCCACCGCTGCCTTGCGCAGGAGGCAACGGCCCTGAGCCAATGAAGAACTGCACCGGAGGCAGCTGCTCCGAAGCATCGAAGAACTGAGCCGGAAACAACTGCCCAAAGCCGCCCCAGGCATGCAGAGGAGATGGAGATGGCTCCTCCAGGCTGTCGCCGACGCCTTGCAGAGGAGAAGTGCCCCGTGCCACCACCAATAACGTGCACAGCAGACAACTGCCCCATTCCGCCGCCAGTGCGTTGCAGAGGGGACGACTGTCCCATGCCGCCGCCAATGCCGTGCACAGGAGACAGCTGCCCCAAGCTGCCGCCGATAACTTGTAGTCTTGTAGAGGAGACGACTGCGCAATGCCGCCGCCTATGCATTGTGGAGGCGAAAAATTGGCCGAAGTCAACGAAGAACTGCAGAGGAGACAAGTCCCCCATGCCGCAGTCGCCGATGCCCTGTAGAGGAGAGAACTGCCCCATGCCGCCGCCGCCGATGCCTTGTAGAGGAGACAACTGCCCCGTGCCCGCGGGTGCCGCCGCCGATGCCTTGAAGGGGAGACAATTGCCCGAGGCCATCAGGGAACTGCATAGGAAAGAACTGCCCCAAACCGCCGAAGCTCTGCACGGGAGCCAACTGTCCCAAGCCGCCGAAGCCTTGCACAGTTGCACTGGAGACGATTGCAGAGCGCCCTGCAGAGGAGACGACTGCATGCCGACGCAGAAGCCTTGCAATGAGACTCGTTGCGCCTCCTGGCACCTGCAAAAGAAGGCCGCTAAAAGATTGCGATTTCTTCTTCAAGGGTCACTCACAACAAGACCGTGCCGTCAATCAAGCTCGCTCGAAGGGGGAGGCAACTTAGAGTCTTAGGCAAGATCTACAGGGAAATTGGTGCAATTATCCACCACGATGGGTAAGCTCCTTGGTCGCCTTCTCTGCAGGGAAAGAAGCATTGTCAGTTTATGACGGATGAAGCCATCTTTTTGTCTTCTTTCTCTGCCTGTGTGCAGTGCCTTCTTTGCTTGCCACTGAACGAGCCGCTCTGTTTGTCGCCTTGTATGTTTTCCGTGCTTCGTTTGTCAATCACTATATTTCCTCCCACATACTCTCTCCATCGCCGTCCATGCCTCCTTTTCCAGCCTTTCCCTGTCTTTTTTTCTCTGCCCATCTGTTTGTCCACGTTTCCAGCGCTCGCCACTGAGTCGCCCGAAACGCACCTGCCGCACCGGCCCACCCGCAGCTGACGGCACGACTCTGATTCTCTCTGAAGCGGACTCCATCTCGTGGGGGCGATGGTGTGAGGCTTATGTTCTGTTTAGTACAGCACGATTAAGTAGTAGGAGTTTCGAATGCATGCATGTGTGAGGCTCACCATCTGTTTAGTATAGGACTGAGGTGGTATTGGCCCCACGTGCTGCTTGGTTGAGTTCAGCCAACGGAGGGGATATTCCTTTCTCCTACACCATCTCTGCTGCTCGTCTGCTCTGCTCATCGCTCAGCGAGGGTGATGATCTTAAATTCTTAATGCCTGATCGCCTGTTCCTCGGCATAGATAAATTGGCTGCGAGCTACGCGTCCATTCTTTGCCCGGACGTGCCGTGGGGACTGCCTTTATCTCCGTCTTGTTTTCTCTTTTTGTCTTCGCGCCTGTGCATTACTTTCCTCTCTTTTGGGCGACTACATTGCCGAGTGGAATTTCCGATTCGGCTTTACACGTGCAGGTGGGGATGGGGGAACAACATCAAGAGTGTATTAAGAAACTGCATCCATTCATTGAATTTCATTGTGTCAGACTGTCAGTCGTAAAGGAGGACATGCTCTCTTTACCCGTCTATTCTTTTCTTTTCGGCTCAATCCTGAATACACTTGTGAGTCCTGACCAGTGACCTTCTGCTTCGACCCCCACACCAACCCCGCTCTTGGGTGATTGATTGAGTGACTGAGCGAGTGATTGGATTCTTGAAAGATTGATTATCTGATTGATTGATTGATTGATTGATTGGCTAATTGATTGATTGATCGCCAGGTGCAGCGAGAGGAATGAATGACCCAATCGAACAAGCGAGAGGTATGATATGAGTGAAGTGAGCGATCGCCTGACTCAGAGTGGGAATGACTCCGAATGAGCGATTGTGTAGAGATCTTCAGTTACTTCACAACGCAAAGTCGAAGGCGTTTGGTTGGCTGAGTCATCCACCCACTCGAGAGCGAATCAGTTAGTGAACTTAGTGCATTGTAAGACGTGTACAGTGTACACCTGTCACCTGGAACAAAAAAAAATTCTTTTTTTTTTTTTTTTTTTTTTTTTTTTGGAACAAAAATCTCTATGCATTCTGTTCGTTTGAATCGGTCTGATGAAGGAGATGGAGTCCGAAGGAATGACTGTGTGATTCTTCTGCTTTTCTATACCTTCTCTGTGCAGTGACAAAATCAGGCCCGTGCGTGCCATGAATTCATAGCATTGCGAGCTCTTGATAGGGCAGTGGTTGTGGGCCTGGTGGCTGGACCAAGCAACCATGTCATCTTCAATCGTCTGTATGTTAGTGGCTAATTGGCAATTTACATAGCATCTCGCGAAGTCAGTGTGGGCGCCGCAAAGCCGCACAATTTCGTCAACAGGTGCATCAAGATCAAGATCAATGCGGCTCAGTACACGGATGGTGGGCACTACAACCATGGTCAAGCGAGTCGGACTCAAGGCGATCCTCGATCCTGCATCGTCGTCACCACAGCTATGGCATTCCGTGAAACGGTGGCAATGTTCGAAACCCCTTTGGGATGCGGTCGTTTTTAGCACCAATAGTTTCTCTATCCCGCTGTCCCGGCACAGGACCTCGCCCCTGTTCCGGTTTTTCTTTCGTCCAGGACGGGGGTCTTAGACGCCGCCTGGCGGCCTGTGTTAGTCTGATCATCTCTGATGCATAACGCTTTTGGCTTGCCAGTGAAAAAAAGGAGATAGACCGTGGTTACCAAAGGTAGAATCGGTAAGCAGAGAGAGAGAGAGAGAGACAGAGAGACAGAGAGAGATAGAGAGAGAGATAGATAGATAGATAGATAGAGAGAGAGAGAGAGAGAGAGAGAGAGAGAGAGAGAGAGAGAGAGAGAGAGAGAGAGAGAGAGGGATGCTTTTTTTCTCGTCACTGCATAATGATGCGTGTGGGGGACCCAAGTCACTCAACCATTTGGTATTGCAGGTAGCTCGACATGGAGTGAGAAGCTGTCAGATGACTCAGATCGAATGGGAGATCTGTTATCAGTCTGCACTGCAGTAAAAGCAAGAATGCAGGTCCGCAGAGGAGCGATATGATAAGTCGGAAGTCGCGCAGTATTGGCGTTTTTTTCCTGTTGGATCTGTTGTTTCGGGGGGGCGGTCTATGAGGTGGCACACAAAGTGCCGTGTTTGACACAGTGTGTGGCACAGTGTGCATGTGTGTGTGTGTGTGTGTGTGTGTGTGTGTGTGTAGCATGTGTGTGTCACATGAGTCGCGTGAGTACAACGCGTCATACTCGCGCCACTCCGACAAGGCGTCGGCGCACTGTGAGCAAGGTGCACGTCGCGGAAGTGATTCTCAACGCGGCAGGGTAAAACCATAGTGTGTGTCCATTTGTGGTGAGGGTACTTATTTAAAGGGCCGTAAAGTCTAAAGCAGCCAAATATGCGAAAGCAGTAAGACAAAGTGAGGGAGGTGGGTGGCGCATCCTTTTTTCAGACAGACCAGAACACAGGCAATAACACCCCACAAACCAAGGGAGGGAAGGCAAAGGACAGCGAGCCAAACGTGTGTGTGTGTGTGTGTGTGTGTGTGTGTGTGTGTGTGTGTGTGTGTGWGAGAGAGAGAGAGAGAGAGAGAGAGAGAGAGAGAGAGAGAGAGAGAGAGAGAGAGAGTGCACCTTGCTGAGGCTTGCTCTGCATACAACAAAGTTAAACAAACTGAATGTACCTGGCCGCTTAAAGGTTCAGATATACATTTTGAATGTGGTCCAAATAAGGGCGGCCAAATTCACTACTTGTGTTGTTTAACGCAACTTGACCGGAAAGTTTGACTTTTTTTTTCCCTATCATCAGTGAACTGATTGGCCTCAGGCCCTCAGGCAATTCAGAATGATTTGTTATTCTCTTCATCTGAGGGTATCAAGATTCGAACTTGAGTGAAGTTGAGTCTGATTCATATTTCAAAAACAGTTCGAGGGGGGTGTACCGACTGAGCTAGGCCCGTTGGTAAAGTTGACTTCTTTTTTTTTTTTTCTTAGTTTTGTTTTTTGTAAAAAATAGCAAATCAAAATAATAATACGAAAAACAAACGGGAGCAGCCCATCAATCAATGCACCTCGGAGTCCCCCCGGTCCTCCTTTTTTTTAAATGGCAGTTTATTAGCCAAAAAAAAAGCTATGGGGCGTTCGGCCGCGTTCCTGCCTTTCACTGCCCGGGTTCATGGCCCGGTGGCAAACGAGGGGACGGAAAGACTATTGGGAAAGCCAACAAGATCAGAAAGCTGTTCGAGGCCTGTTATCCTAAGTCACTGACCTTAAAAAGGACAGACGACTGTACTGGTTCCTGGGACTTCCTTGGGTGCCGTATGGAGGTCAAATTGAGCTTTCCGTTTCTGGGTTGTTTTCAGCGGACTAAGAACCAGGACACGATCTGGTCCTCTTGACAGATCATCTTTAGAACTGGCCAAGACTTCAGATCATGGTCCTGCAGAAGACAGAAAATGGTGTCTATTACAGGTTGGTTCTACCGGATAGACAGGAACACGACGGACCGGGCCCGTATTCCGCAGCAGGTTCTGACACTGCGAAAGGAATACAGGGCGAAGAGTTTTTCAGATCGTATCTTCACGAAGGTCCTCGAGAACTTCGCGCGGCATCGAGACTCCTTTTGGCAATTGACAACCACTTTGCTTTGCGGCGACTCGGATTAGCTTTTGCTATATATAGAATAGATAGACTACCGTCCAGTCCTCTTTCGACATGGCGCCGGGCCTCTGCCTGGTTTTGGAAGTGGAAGTGCAGGTATTGTGAAGGGGGAAGATGAGGTGGGGAGCTGAGACTATTCTTGAGTTGTCGTTATTGAGTTGTTGTTTTCGCGACCTCTTGGATGTAACTCTCTCTATTAAGCTTTTGTCAAAGTTACTTGGACTTTGATCTTGATTGATCGTGTGTGTTTGTAAACTTTCATCCCTTGCTGAAGCCCTTGGTAGCCTGCGGAGGGCAGACACTGCGTGTGGTGGTCAAGTTTTCTGGAGTATTGACGAATGTTTTCAAACCTGCTGACGAGAATCAGATGGCGTCCTCAAGTCAGCAAGGCGGCAGCGAAGGCAGGGACGGAGATCCTCCTCGACGAGGTCCTCCTACTTGTTATAGCTGCGAGCAGCCGGGCCATTACGCCCGTGATTGTTGGTTGCACTGGAAGGATAAGTGTGAAGCACTGGAAGCTAAGACTGGCGACTCGCGCTCCAGGCATAGAGGTCGATCCACCTCCCCGGTGGGACGAAGATGGGAGCCAGCGAAAAGATCTCCGTCGGTAGACAGTAAGCACCAAGCTTCAAGATCTGATGTCAAAGATCTGGTGACCTTACTGGTAGCTAAGGATGTAGCGGACCCACCAGTTGTGGTGCTCCGCTAGTGACAGAGATGGAGATGGAGGAAGAAGGAGGGAGCAAGGTGCACAGCGCAGCTCCCCACGCAAGACTCCAACGCACATACTCGAAAATGTGCAAGTGAAGAATGAGATTGAAAACAGACAATGGCTGGGGTATACCCCAGCGGACAGACGGGACTGGACTGGACTGGCTGGTACCGACAGAGGTACCGGCCTGGACTGGCCTACCCCGAATAYAACACAGGCCTGTGAGAACAGGCCAAGGGGCTGGTCTCACARGCCAACCCGAGGTCCGCTACAYGATCCTCGACCTGTGATGGATCGCCTAGATACAAACATGCTTCCGCCAAGAAGCGGAACTCTACCAAAGAAAAGAAAACMTGAGTAGTCTAGGATGCGGAGCAAGCTCCATRTTGAGTCCATGCGATGCAACCTAGGATATAAAATGTCACAAAACAGCAATGTCACAGCTAACAGCCTAAGTGAAAGCAGAAGCAACTAACTAACATACATGTCCTAGGAAAGCAAAAGCAACTAGCTAGCATACATGTCCTAGGAAAGCAGAAAGTAGTGACAACTAGATCCTAGAATGTTGGAGGCACTAGCCTCAGTCTGGTAACAACTGACTAGTGTATAAGTCCTAAGAACAGCAAAAGCAGAACAACAAAAGCAGAACAGCTAAATCCTAGAAATGTCGGAGGCAGTAGCCTCAGTCTGAGAGCAACAAAGCAATCAACAAGACAACCATATGTCACATGAGAAGTGTGTCGCAAACCAAAGGGTGGGATGGTCTCTGAGGGTGGCGAATGCAGCCTAGGGGTCGAAAACTCCTAAGGGCATCCACACATAGTGACAGGGGAAAACACATGTCATCAGGCTCAATGAGGGTAGGGAGCTGGGAGCGAACARAACCAATGACCCTAACAGATAGACCATCAGGGCGGGTAATGCTCGACTARGGGGTGACCGCTATGGAGGGTCGACCATGCAAGGGAACAAGGGAGCCTGGTATACTGGGCACACCTAGATGAAGCATGCGGGGCTGCCTAACTAGGGCGTGAGGGCCGACGAAGGGTAGAAAGATGATGGGTAAGGGAATCATGCAAATGACCCCTAAAGTGAGGGAGGTCGGAGCTAGATCCGTAAGATGGGAAGCCAGGGCAACGCTACGGTCCCGATGCCTATGCGTATACCAAGGGAGAGCCCAACTCAGAGAAACCCGGCTAAARGGAGACCATCATGCGACACAAGCAGGGTACTGTACAGGGTAGAGTGGTAARAGAGTGGCGACGTCTGAAGTAGGCAGAGCTGATCGTGATGAAGTCCATGAAGCTGCCAATGACGTCCACGATGAGAAGTCCGGAATGCCGTCGAGGAAGAGTCGCAGCGTCGACGAGCTGAAGTAGCAAAACTGATGTGGATGGAGTACGAAGAAGTCAAAGACGTGGGAAGGTAAGTCAGAGTCAATCGTCGTATCGAGCAGGACGGCGTCGAGTGCGCTGTGAACGCTCAGAAGCCTCCGGCTGCTGCTGAAGGTCTGCCTCAGATGAAGCAGGCTCAACTTCAGCGGTCTCCTCAGCCACAGGAGAAGGAGGAGGGTCAGTGGGATGAGGAGGAGCAGTGAACCCAGCACGACGAGCACGGTCATAGGCACGCACCAACATGAGAGCGTGCTGCAAGTGCTCGAGGGGCTCCCAGGTAGCCTCCTCATCAGGGTAACCCTTCCAACGTACGAGATACTCGACGTGGGGAGGGTTGTCGTCGGTGACTCGGCGACCAATGATGTCTGAAACGAGGAACTCCTCGTGACCGTCCACCATGATGAGTGGAGGGCGCTCGTATGGTCGTCCGGCGAAACGCTCAGACGCTCTGCAGTAAGGACGCAGTAACGAGACGTGGTAGACATCGTGCACACGAGCCTGGCGTAGGTAGTCGTGCAGCTTCACACGGAAGCTGACCGGGCTAGATGTCGTATCAGAACCGACAGCCTGGAGGATGCGGCATGGGCCAAAGAAGCGACGCGGAAACTTGCGAAGCGTGTCCGCTTCTAGCTATAAGTGGCGGGCGTCGATAAGCACATCATCACCGACTTTGAATGGATGATCCATCCTCGATCGGTTCGCACGTGCTGCCATGCGAGTCTTGGAAGCGGCTATGTGCTCATGTGCGGTCTTCATGATAGACGTCATGTGTGCCACCCAATCGTCCAGCGCGGGACAACTCGTGTCAGGGTGCAACTGGGATGGTCAAAGGAAGTCCGCGGGAACACGAGGGTGATAGCCGAGGTCGCAATAGTAAGGCAACATCCCTGTGGCTGGCGAGACGACATGGTTGTAGGCTATCTCCGCGTGGGAAAGATGGAGGTCCCACTGCTGGTCGTCACGAACAATCTTTCAGAGAATATCTCCGAGAGTCCTGTTCGTGATCTAGGTCTGACCATCAGTCTGAGGATGGTAAGACGAGGAGAAGCGAAGCTGAGTGCCGTATACCTCGTGGAGCCGTCGCCAGAATCGACTGGTAAAGCGCGGGTCACGGTCAGATATGATGCTGAGAGGTAAGCCGTGATCACGCACGACTCGGTCAAACACGATGTCGACGACCTCACGTGCACTGATAGCATAGCAGCACGGAACAAAGCATGCACGCTTCGTGAAGCGGTCGACGATGACCAGGATACCATCATGACCGCGGGGGGTCGGAGGTCGAAGAGGACCGATAAAGTCCATCGAGATGGACTGCTAACGACCCTCAAGGATAGGAAGAGGCTGGAGCAAACCATAAGGCAGGTGGTTCGCACTGTTCACCTCCTGACAGGTGGGACACTCTGCGACATAGTCCTTCACAAAGTCCTTGCGCTTCGGCCAGACGTACAGGCGGCTCACACGAGCCAACGTCTTGTGGAAGCCCATATGACCGGCAGCTGCCTGGTCATGGAACTCCGCTATTGCTTGGACACGTAGCTGTCCAGTGGAGGGAACGCAAATACGGGGCTCTCTGGTGCCCTGTGAACCGTGCCAGTACACAAGACCGTTGTCCCCGAGAGAGTAGTTCGGGACGGTCTTACCACTCCGAAGGGTCGCGTGGATGTCGCGATAGTCGGGGCAGTGGCGGTACTGAGTGCGAAACTCGTCGGTCACCGAGTGGTGGACGGTGGTGACCGAGATGGAAGAGAGCTGGATGTGCTCCTAGTCGTGGTCAGGGCACCGGGAGAGGGCATCTGCGACCCGATTAGTTTCACCCTTGATGTTCTCAGTGGTGAAACTAAACTCGGATAGGTTGCGCCACCAGCGAGCCAGTTGAGGAGTGAGTTTCGGTTTTGTCAGAATAGCCTGGACAACAGAGTTGTCCGTATGCACCGTAAACGGTGCCCCATGCAGGTAGTGACGCTAGTGCCGAGCGGCATAAACCACTGCGAGAACCTCACGTTCATCAGCAGTGTAGTTTATCTCGGCGGGCAGGAGCTGACGTGAGTAGAAGGCTATCGGACAATCGCCTGAGCGAGCCGTCCTCGGCGATGGTAAGAGAATAGTCAATAGAAGACTCGTCAGTAGCTGGACGAGTAGGCGTCAGTCGGGAAGCAGTGGTAGGGGTAGGTGGTGGGAAGCGAGGGTTACGAGGATGAGAGGAATCAGGAGAGGAGGGGAAGACCTGAGAAAGCATCGGTGGTAAGGATAAAAGGGCGATCAAAATCGAGTAGGTGAAGAACCGGTGCACATGTCACCGCCTTCTTGAGGGCGCGGAAGGCGTCCTCATGGAGGGGTGTCCAAGCCCAGGGTGGGTTCTTCCGGAGGAGGGTGGAGGTAAGGACGTAGGAATACCTACCGTATCCCCGGATGAAGTTACTATAGTAGCTGGTCAAGCCTAGGAAGCTGCGAAACTGCTTGGCGGATGTGGGAGCAGGCCACTCCGCAATAGCAGTGATCTTCGCGTCGTCCATGTGGAGACCCTGGTCAGACAGGTAATGTCCAAAGAACTCCACTTTCTGCTGGGCAAAGCGGCACTTGCTGAGCTTGGCGTAGAAGCCATGTCTGCGCAAGCAGTCAAGGACGTCGCGGAGGTGCCTGAGGTGCTCCTCAAGGGTACGACTGTAGACCAGGATATCATCAAGGTAAACGAGAACGTACTGCTCTAGTATGTCCCTCAAGATGTCGTTCATCGCCCTCTGGAAGGTGGCGGGTGCGTTGGTGAGGCCGAATGGCATCACCGTAAACTCGTAGTGGCCGAAGCGCAATCGGAACGCGGTCTTCGGCTGGTCGGCTGCAGCGATGCGGATCTGATGGTAACCGCTACGAAGATCAATCTTCGTAAAGAAGCGGTTGCCTGCTAGGCAGTCGAACAGCTCATCAGAACGAGGCATGGGGTAGCTGTTCTTAACCGTGTAGCGGTTGAGACCGCGGTAGTCGATGCAGAGACGAAGAGTTCCATCCGCTTTGCGAACAAAGAGGAGGGGTGCACCCCACGGAGAGTTGCTGGGCTTAATGAAACCCAGTCTCAGGAGCTCCTTAAGCTGACGCTTGAGTTCGGTAGCCTCAGGAATCGAGAGTCTGTAGGGTGCCTGGTGGTGAACATGATAGTCAGGCACAAGCTGAATGGAGTGTTCGACATCACGCATCGGTGGGATGCCGGCGTACGAAAACGATGATGGAAAAACGTCGTGGTACTCTCGGATGAGGTCACGAACTGCGGGCTCCAGGTCAGCCGTATATCGTGCGAGTTCCTCAGCGTCAGCGTCAGCGCGCGACGACGGAGTGGACTCGACGGACGGCGGAGGGACGAAAATAGAGATGGGAGCCATGGAGATAGAAGTAGGATCTGGCTCCAGAAGGATGAGCTCGGCGTCGGGACAGGGTGAATCATAGTGTAAGAGATCCGTCACGTTCTCCATAAAGAAGGTGACATCGTCCTGTCGGATGAAGTGGGCGAACAACCGAGGCGAGGTGACAGTGATAGAAGGAGATGGTGTGGGAACGGAAGGCTCCGGGGGAGGAGGATCGGGGAGTGGTGTCGCGGTGGTACCTATGAAAGATACGCGATACGTCTGTCCACACTTCATTTTGAGAACGAGAGTGTTGGTCGCCCAATCCGCCTCGGTGTTGCGGAACCGACGAGACCACGGAGTGCCGAGAATGAAGTTGTACCCCGTCTCCATCACATCGAAATGTGCAGAGGAGCAGCGGCGACGAGACGCTGGGGGACGATCAGTCGGCTCGAGAGTGAGGAAGAAAGGGAGGTCGGAGACCGTCTGATCGAAGAAGCGTTGGGTCTTGTCATCCCCTAGGGTAACAGAAATGGGAGTTTGAGACCCTGTTGTGGGTAAGCGAGCTTCTTTCACCACGCGTGGGTGAATGAAGTCGCCCTGAGAACCGGAATCCCACAGCGCGGAGTACACCCTCGTGGAGGTCCCGAGTCGTACCAGGATGATCGGGAGGGTGCGATCAGGGTCAGAGAGGATGGCGAGAAGGCGACGCAATGCAGCGACATGGAGGGTGAGTCGCTCCTGACGAGCCAGGAGCATGCTCAAGTCCAGAAGAAAGGACACAACGTCCTCGCGAGTAGCAAGCTGCTCGCTGCAACGGGCTGAGCGAATGGCTCGACGCATCGGTAGTCGCGGCGGGGAAGGAGGGGAGACGGTGGTCTGCGGAGGCGCAGACGGTACTGCGACAGAGGGCTGAGTACACTCTGTCGAGTCCTGCGATACCTCAACTCCAGTAGCAAGAGGGGCAAACTGCGACCGAGATGTCGGGAAGCCCACTACTGAGGAGGGCGCAGGTGTACACTGCACCGTGGCTAGGAGGCGCCGCGGGGACGTGAGGCGCCGGGGGGGGACTGAGCACGACGCTGACGAGAAAGGTCAGCGTAGTGGCGGTCGAGGGCGGTAGTGTAAGGGCACCGCGAGGAGGTATGACCGTCCAAGCGGCAGTGCAAACACCCATGCCGGCCCAGAATGGCCGCGCGCTCCTCAGGGGAAAGGACACCACGAGGAGGGACGAAGCCCTGAGGGAGGTCCTCCTGAAGGACCTTGGGGGGCGGCGTGCCAGCGTGACTGGGGCGGCTGCGTGCCCGAGAGAGGGCGGAGAGCGCGAGTTGAAGGCGCTCAGCTGCAGGGAGGGTAGAGTCCTCCAAGTGATAGTGGACGGCCTCGCAGAGATCGAGCTCGTCGTTGTGGTCGCCCTCAGGTGACAGTGGGGCAACAGCGTCCTGCTCACCATACTCCAGCTCGCTAAAGCGGCGCGAGAAGTGGCGGCCCTGCTGCGTGGAACGGCGGGGGCGACCGCGGAAAGGGGAACGACGCTGGGAAGTGCCGTGAGAGGAGGGGGAGGCGTAGCCCGTGCGCTGGGGCTGGGAGGAGAAGGCGGGGTGAAGACGGGCTCGCATCCGCTGATTGTCCCTGGCGGCCTCGTAAGCCTGTGGGGCCGATGTGAACTCGTACCGCCATAGCTCAGAGCGGTACTCGAGCGGGAGGCTGGCCAAGAAACGATCGATAAGGGCAGCCTCGGGAAGGAACGCCACGTCACAAACGAGGCGGGCGTCCTGAAAGACCTGGATGTGGCGATCCAGGCCGGCAGCGCCACCAGAGTCGGACCAGCGTGTAGTGACGACACGCTCGAAGGCGTCTGTCACGTCATATCGGGTTCCGAAGCGATCCTCGAGGAACGCCTGGAAATCCATGAAGGTCGGAATCCGACCCTCACGCAGGGAGTAAGCATAGAAATCCTCCCAGGCGTCGAAAAGAGCACCACGCAGGCTCGTGGAGAGGTGACCCGCCCATGTGTCGGGTGTGGCGCCTATGAGCTGGAGCGTGCTGGTGGCAGCCTCGAGCCACCTAGACACGAGTATGCCTGTACCGTCATACGAGGGAATGTCCGACAAGCGGATGAGTGGTGTGCCACCGTTTTGGCGGCGAGGGGAACGAGAAGCAGGGGACTGCGCTACGGTGGAATAAGTCGGCGCAGGTTCTGAAGGAGGAGGAGGCGCAACTGACTGTACGCCCGGGCCGCATGGTGGAGCGGCGGGGGAAGCAGCGGTAGGCTGCACGGGAGCTGCGGTAGAAGAGGTCGTGGCGACCGAGGGGATGGGGAGGAGGTAGGATGGAGATTGGTAGGGTGCAGGGCGAGGGAAGTGAGCCTGCATGGAAGGAAGAATAGAGAAAGAAGGGGGTGCACCGGAAGGCGCGGCCACCTGTGAGGGTGGGGGTGGCTGAAGGCGTGAGAGGGGGAGGTCGGTGAGAGCGGGGCGATCTCGTCCTCGAGACTTCGAACGTAGGTCGAGTGAGAAGTGGCAGGGGGAGACGCACGAGCAGCGCGAGGCATCCCACAAGGGGGAGAGCCAGATGGCGCTGCGGTCGTGCGAAGAGGGGGGAGAAGTGGGGCACCCGGAAAAGCTGAGACCATGGTAGCGGGTTGTGGTCCCGTGGCCGTCGTGACCGGAATCTGGGCGGGTGCGCCCTTGGACTGAGGGAGGGCCTGACTCGTGGCGGTCGTCGTGCTAGGTGCGTCGACGGTCACCAAGATGGCCTGGTCGGGGGCAGCGGAGGAGGAAGCTCCACCGTGGCCACCCTGTCGGAAGGCGGGGGACCCAGACATGGAGCCAGGAGAAGAGATAGGGTGAGGAGAGGAAGGACGCCCAGCGTCCTGGAGTTGCCGCACGCCGGCGGCAACGGTCGCCACCTGTGTCTGTAAGGGCGCGAGGGTCGCGAGTTGCGCCTGCATGGGCGCGAGGGTCGCGAGTTGCGCCTGGATGGGCGCCAGGAACGAGGTGAGGAGGGTGTGCAGATCCCCCTGAAGCTGATGGCCCTGGTCCGCCAGCACGGGTGTGGAGCCCGATGCCGTGGTCATCGCCGTGTCGGCGGCGTGTGACACACTGTCAGCCATGGGGAGATGACGGACCAGACTGGAGGGGGCCAGAAGAGGTCCGCGTGAGCGGAGGGCGTAGGGGGAACTCCGCGGTAGAAAGCGGCGAACGGCGCTAGCAAGGCTAGCGCGGGCGCCGTCAAAGGGGGAGGGGTGGTTCGGGTCCAGGGTGCCCGAAGAGGACGGGAAAGTAAGGGGGGGTTTAGAAACTCTAAACCTTACAAAAACCCTAAGGAAAACCCTAACCGAGGTTTAAGTGGTTAGGGTAGGGTACCGGTGACCTAATCAAGAAAGTAAAAGAGCAAGCATTGGGGGGGGGGAAGACGGGAGAAAAATAAATAAACAGCGAGATTTCGAGAGAAAAAATAAATAAATAAGAAAATAAATAAATAATAAAAATAATTAAAGAAATAAGTAAAAGGATGGAAAAGGAAAAAACAATATTTATTTTTTTGAAATTTTCGGCAGCATTTCCCTACCCCCCACAGGGTCAAGAATGCGCCAAGGGAAAAGGAGAGACCAAGGTGAGCACACTAGAGATGTCGCGAATAATAAAAAGAAATTTCAAAAAATAAATAAAGAAATAATAAACAAATAAATAAATAAGTAAATAAGTGTGTGAGGAGGTGGAGAGAAATGGGTTATCTGATTTTTCAAAAATTTTGGCAGCATTTCATTAGCTCCATGGGGTCGAAATGTGCCGAAAAGACTAAGTAAGAGAAAATCAGAAAATTTCGGCAGCACTTCGTTAACCCCACGAGGTCAAAACGTGTGCTGAAAGCAAGAAAGGCTAACACCTAATCAGATTGAGGGTTGCCGCCAAGAAATTCGAATTTTCAGAATAAATAAAATAAATCAGAAAATAAGAAAAGAGGGTAGGGAAGAAGATGAGAAAACTAACAACTATTCAGATTTAGGGTTGCCGTAGAGAAAATCGAATTTCCAAAATAAATAAAAAAATAAATGAAATGAAACAGAAAATCAGAAAAGAGGGTGGGAAAGAAGAGATTTCGAATTTTTGGAAAAGAGAAAAGATAAATCAAAAGAGAGGTGGAAAGAAGAAAAACAGAAAAAATTCGAAGTAGGGGGGAAGGGGAATGAAAAAGTGAAGGAGAAAAGAAAGAAATAGGTGGGGGGAGAGAAAAAGATAAAGTGGCAGGTAGGGG